CTTAATTTACAGCTGACATTAATTTCACTCTACAGTTGAAGAATGTCTTTATGAGCTGGTGCTACAAACCACAGTTTGATAAATGAGGTTCTTTGTCAGAGCAGAGCAGCACATGTGGGTTCAGAGAGAATGTCAGCTGAGTCTGACCCCACATCGAGGAGAGGACGGCAGCTCATTGGTACGTCTTTACCACAACATATCAGTCTAGTTAGTCTAAAATATTATATTACTTTATTACATTACATTTTTTTTTAAAATTAAATTTTGGTCATATCTACTCTGACTGATGAACAATTACGTAATTGTAGTTTGTTTAAAGAAAAGTATGTAACGGTCGGTCTGTCTGTCTGTCTGTCTGTCTGTCTGTCTGTCCTTGAACCTGACTATTTGATCTTCTTGCAAAGCTTGTTACTTCCTATATATCCCAGACTGCTTTTAACAAAAGCTGGAAGTTGTTGCTTTCAGTTGTGCAGCTGACCTGTAGGTGGAGGGAAACGATAATGAAGGTGAAAGAAACAGGTGTCATTTGCAGTCTGTTCGTTTAAAACTCTATCTTGTCTTGCAGTTGCATTGCATTGTGGGAAATTGAGACTGCTGCATTGCATTCTGGTCTACTTCCTGCTACTACAGGTGCAGAAATTGGCCTCTGTGCTAACTTCTACAATGGATTTCTCACCAGATTCTGACATTTACCAAATCCTGAAGGTTGATTGCATCAGCAGTTTTGTTTTATAACAGAGATGATTTCCACTTTAATAAAACGAATATTGTTGAGCAGACAGGCAACAAAGATCAGAGATGAACGTACAATATGACAGACTGAGTAGCAGCAGTCTAGATTTCCTCTGGTTTTAAGAGAACCACAATTACTGGAGCTGGAGTGTCAGGATTGGCTCGAGAAAGACCTAAAAAGTAAAATGTAATGCAGAGAAAATGCAAAGACATGCAGAAAGATTCAAAATGTTTGTAAAGGTGGAAAAAATTTAGAAAGAGGAGGTGCTTTGTAAAGCATCTTGGTTCTGAACATTTCCTTTCAGGTGGTTAGGATGAAAAAAACTCAAATTCAGCTGTCTGAGAGTTTCATATAGAAGGAAATGTGCCTGAGTAAGAGGGACGCAGCAGGATCTTGAGGTTAAGGGAAGATGATGGTCAGCATTGACTGTGTGGGTGGTTTAGTTAGTGTCTGTGTTTATATTTGAGGTTTTGTCTCTGATGTGGCTTCATGTTTGTTCATGAATCAGTCACAACTCTCTCTGTCTACCCTGCTCTTTTCATTCCTCCACACTCAATACTCCTCTCTTTCCTCATTTTAGTGCATAATACAATATATCATATAATATGTACAGTACATTATTACAGTGCATTTAACATGAGTCGCAACCAGTGTTCACACTTTAATGCAGTTTTCATTCCATTCCATAATAGTGAAGGTTTCAGTGATATCAAAGAGTGCATTTCTCATTTTGGAATAAAACTTTTACTCTGCAGGCACTTTGCTTTAACCAAATGTTGCCACATTTTCCTTCTACTCTGCAGGGAATTGGACTCAGCCATGGAGCGTCGTCTGGAAGAGATGGAGAGGAGGCTGAAGGAGCACGTGGACCGTCGACTCGACGCTCTTGAGCAGAAGCTGGAGAGGGCCCTGCTGAGCGCCCTGCCGCAGCTCACCCTCAACCAGGGAGCCGTGAGCAGTTCAGAGGGAGAAGCAGCATCCACCGGACCATTGGAGCAGACTGCTCTGACACCAGCTATCCACTGAGTTCAGAACCACTAAAAGACTAACATGTAACCTGGAAGCCTTTCTGCCCCTGGTCCTCCTCAAACTGACCTTAGTGTCGGCGAAGGGGGGTGCAGTAGGACGCAGACAACAACAGAGACAACAGCAGAAAAAAAGGCTGAAATGAGAAATTAAAACTATAATTACAACAATTTGATAAAATATAAAGTTGTCCATATAAAGTATAAAGTCCAGCTGTCAAAGATGCAGCCTCTGTAACGGTTCGTTTATCTTTTATCTCTTTACTCTTTTTATTAGCCACAGTAGGATTGTGACATCAGGTTGTGAACACGATGCAAGTTTGGCATAAAGAAACAAAAATGTGTAACTGCAGAAATCCCCTATCCCAAAAAATTATGTCCTGTGCCTGAGTGCATTCTGGGCTATGAAAAATTAGCTAGAAATACATCACTAAGGGTTTTGGAAACCAAAATGAAGTAAAACTGAGCATAGACTCCAGAGAGCCCTCAGTCACAGCCCTGACGCAGAAAAAACAAAGAACAAGCTTTAAATTACTGCAGTGATCTTATTATTGGCAGATTTTAACATGATAATAATTTACATGCAACACCAGCAGAACACTCATATATTCACATTAAAATGTGCATTTAAACACTCCAAGGTCCTCCCAGGTTTCATGATCCACATGATCCTCCAGTCATCCTGACCAACAGTTATTCTTCTGCACACTATGTACTGTAACTTCACTGATCTGCTATTAAGTGTTTTCGGTCAGTCAGGCCTTAACTGTTATGTTTGACGTGTGGAAAATCTGATAATGAATACATATACTCCTGTTACAGGAGTATATATAGAAGGTGTAACTGATTAAAAAGTGTTTTAATATGGCACTGTTATGTTTTAAATAATGTACATTTCTGTAACATAAATCTGCCAGTGTAAACTATTAAAAGGACTGTGATGTTGATGGTTTTAATAACTACTGAAATACATAGCAATAAAAATATATTTATACAGATGAATGTCCTTTTTGTAATTTCACAAAACATCCTTCTAGTGTCAAACTTAGCAAATACTTCACTCTGCACAGTGAAGCTCAAACATCCAACTTTAGGAACAAGCACATACAATTTGAGTGGATGGGAACCTCAATAACTAAAACAGAGAAGTGCATGTGCAACAGGATACAAAAAATCCTGAATAGAGAGAGAAAACAATTCACTAACTTTACAAGAGCTCAGTGCCTTGATTTACTAAATTAGAAAGCTGTAGATCACAAAGACCGTAAGAGGACAAGGGACATGAATGAATAAAAATAAATAAATAACAGTGAGACAAATCCTTTAACTATGGCAACCGTAACGAGCAGAACATTTGGGCGTTCAGTTTGGTATGTTTGGCTCCAGCTCTGCATTTTCTGACCAGAGTCATAACATATGAGTCAGAAATACTTTTAAGAGCTGATAATGCTGATTTATGGATATTTCGTGTGGACGACAATGGCAGTTTGAGGAAAATATTGTCCAAGAGTTTCGCGGAAGGTAAAATCAACTTAGCCGATTTTTCCTGCCAGGCTTTCCAGTAATGCTGACTCATAAATTGGTCACAAATGAACCATCAAGGTCACTGAAAGTCTTTTTATATGGAGAACCACTGCAGTGAGTTGTGTGTGGAAGACATCTGAAGTGAATCCTGCTGTGTGAAAAGCCCTGTTCCCAAAATACAAAAAGAAACAGAGGAGATGGTCGACACCAAGGTACTATGTAGCAAACCGACTGACAGCTGTGAGCTGAGTCATCAGAAATAAAATGGGTCATACGTTACATAAGAAGGACACCAAATTATAAAATGATGTGCGGATGTCTTGTAAAGCATGTGGAGAACAGACACTGAGTCAGCAGAGGGGAGTTCTGGGAGAAAATTTCTGTCAATCAGCACAAACCAGGTCACTGCTTCCATTCACAGTCGAAATGAAAGAAAAAGTCCTGTTCATCTTCTGCTGGTAGATGTCAGCTGTCTGCAGTCCAGGAGGATATTTAGTGATGGGAGGATGTCATGCATGTTTTAATGGTGAATCCACTTCACCTGTCAGCCCACCTCTTCTGTGTGAAAGTTGTTCTACACATTACTGTTGGATAAAGACTCCACTCCAAAATCTCCGTATTATAAAAGATAAACATTTGCATGGACAATTTGTGTTTACCCACTAAAGTGAGTCGTAAAGCTTTTGATCACATGATCTTCCTCTGCAGATGGGGTTGCTAAAAAAGAAAAAATTAAAGCTGCAAGCAGCGATGATCAGGCCCTCGCACTCTGCGTGTGTTGAGGTGTGCTGTGGCCGCACCATGCGCCAGCGTATCGTGTGTGGACCACGACCATAATCACCACACAAGGCTAATTTCCTATTGCCAGTGGGTGGCAAGATCACTATGACTGAATATTGGCATGTAGATGTGTTCAGACTCTTATCAAATGTGTGAAGTTTGGTGGAGATTGAACCATGTACGCTGAAGTTATGACAACTTCCTGTTTCAACTGTCAAAATCCGACGCCACACACTATTTGTGAATTTCAGCATACACGTCACAAATAGCACAACTTTGAATTTTTAATGTCTTTAGATTTCACTGACCAAATTTGAAGTCGATCCGTTCGTTCAAATACGAAGCAAAAAATCGCAGAACATAACTACTAAATTCAAAATGGCCGACGTCCTGTTGGGTTTGGGGTATGGGTCCAAGAGACTTTTAGAATATGTAAGGCATTTTTCATGCTTCGTGCAAGGAGTTTATATGCTTTTTTCATACACATATAAATAAAATCTTTACTGAAGACGTGTTTGTTTGTATGTTAGCTGTTGGTTGAAATATTAACTTTGGAGAAGAAAGTGTAGAAAACCAAATATGTGATGATGTAGAAGCAGAAGACAACACTCCACAAAGAGGAAGAGGGTTGAGAAACCTCATGGTGTCTTTACAAGCTCAGGGGATCCTAGAAGGCTCCATGTGGAACCCCTACAGGCAAACTATGAACCTCATTAAGGGAAGTTTGTCATTCACAAAAGAATTGTTATGAAAATAGAAATGTACAGTCGTACAGAATAGTCAGAACTAGTTAAAAAAAAGTCTGTTACGCTTATTGCTATTACTAATGATGATTTATGATCAAATATATAATAATGAATAATAAAATTATTCATATTAAAATAATAAATCAAACATCGACTGGCAGTTCTTACAACAACATGGTCAAGAAGACAACACTTTTGAAAATAATTTTATTCCCCTTTTTTGAAAAACTGTCAAACACATACAGACAAAAATACTATTAAAAAAATATTCCATCAAGAACATACACAATAAAACAGAACTACGGTAACCTGCAGTAACCGCTTTGTAGCGACAGATGGTGTTAGTAGAATATAAAAGGTCTGTGATGATGGAAAGTTAATTGGGATTAGAAGAAAAATTCAAACTAATATGAGAAGTATGACAACAGGGTCGAAGCTCCAGTTCCCAGGGTTATGAAGGTGGACCTTTGAAGGTGTGTGTGTGTAGTAGTAGTACTAATAATTACAAGTTCTTAAACGCAGTAGGTGTGGCCCCAGACACACACACCCCTGTTGGTTGCTTGGTTTTTCAAAGTGTTCATGATTGGTTGAAAAACACTGAGAGCCAGCTCGGGATTGGTTGACTGGTTGGGTCGTTGCGTTGTTGTTCGTTCAGCTGAGAGGTCAAGGCTCGATATCCTCGGGGATGATGGTGAGGATGACGTCCTCGTTGCCTCGCCTCACCACTGTTCGCAGCCTCTCCTCATGCTTTATGGCGGCACTGACATCACTGGCCGAGGTGATCCGCTCGCCATTGATACTGATGATGACATCACTCTCCTGCAGTCCAGCTCTGTCGCCAAGAAAGAAGAGGGAAGGTTGACAGATGTTACAAAAGAAATTAGGCATTTGGGGCATGTAGTTGATTTCCACAACATTACATTCAATATTCATTACGTATAATTTTTACGAAGTGACCACAATAAATCTGCAGGGTTGTTGCGATTCCTACCAGCTACCACTAGATGGAGATAATAGTTACAGATCCATTCACGAGCTTGTCATTTAAAGGTACATTTCCTAATTCTGCAGCAGTAGCTATGGCAACCCCAAATCTGCTAAATAAATGATTATATTTCAGCTCATTTGAGCCCAGGTTTGTGTTTGTCTTCAGCAGAATATCTCAGGTTATATCTCTTTTAAAACTTTCTTTATGTGCCTGAGAATATAATATTGTACTTTGTGCAACTTGGCCCTTGTTTGTTGCTTATGTAGTCATTTATAACAATACATAATAATGTTATAGAGAAATAGTTGACGTGAAGCTTTATAAATAAAGCGACAAGTCATAAATGTGTTGAATATGGTTAGGCCACGGTCTCCTGAACTACTTTAATTATTTGAATGAATACAACCTGCCACATGTAGACCACAAAAGACATGGTAACACATTTAGAAATTGTGTATTTGATGTAGATCTGGATCTAGACACAATTTCTCAACATTTTCCTTTATTAAAATCACACATTTAGAGGCCAGTGTAGCTTGATGGCATGTGCTCTCTGTATTCAGCTCCTGAGGTGAACCCAAAGCAGTCTCTTCTTGTTCCTTAAATGACTGAATGCAGTTTGTCTTCCTTGCCAGAGTGAGTTGGACAGTCTGGGTGGGAAACATTCATAATTCTGCCCTCACTGCCAAATTTCAGCCCAGCTTTAAAACCAGAAGTGAACTTTCCACATCCTGCACTCTTTACACACAGTAAGTTCAAATCTAATAAATTTCCTTTCAGCAAGATCAGGTCCTCATCCTGACTCCAGCCTGTGTTCCACATAAACCCTCCAGACAACAAGAAAACAAACTCAACCTGCTATGTTTCAGGTGGAAAGCTGCGGTTTCAACTTCAACTTCAACAAGCTTTTCATGTGGATACCAACAATCTTTCCAGGGACAAAATATATTCTACAGCAGTGAGCCTGGAAACAACCGGCATGCACCCTTCTATCTACTGTATTTTCCCGTGACAAACTCCATTACTGAATGTGCAGATGATGAATGCATTACATATCGTAAGATCCTTTAACCTGGCTGTGAAAATATAGCTTGTTGATTTGACATATTGGGCCATACACCAGATAATGTGGAAATAAGAGAGACACTCACGCCTCAGCTGGAGTCCGACTGATGACCTCAATGACATACGCCCCAGAGGTGACATCTGGGAAGTCTGACTGCCTCTCCTTCAGCTCTTTAGCCAGCCTGAAGGGAGAAAAAGAGGAGAAAAACAGCCAAAATATGAGGTTTTGTACTTACTGTCTGGAACACACCAGTCTGATTTTAATTCAGCTTGAAGTGATGCTTTATGACTCATTTTAAATCACAACATGCAAAGCACTGCTCTGATTAATCGTGACACTCAACCTTCAGGCTTTGCAGAGCTGCAACTTCAACAATACAGATCTGATTTTAATGAAGCGTCTTGTTGCTGATTGGTCCACAGGGCACTTGTATTATTCAGCTACAATGTTTATTCAAATTGTACAGGCTTAACAGATTCTTCCGAATACTAGCTAACAAGATCCAGGTGCACACAGGAAGCTAAAATTATGCAACAGGGCTTTCTGTTAATTTCTGTTTACAATGAAAATCAACTTCCAGAGACTTGAAAACATTAGATAGTTCCTTCATAGGTCATTTGTCATGAACATTTAGTCAGTAAACTACAACATTTTCTATAGGCTATAGGCAGGACTAAACCTAAATTAAATGTTCAATATTATTATTGCAGATAACAAAACTTATACCTTATTTTAAAAAATGGTGTCACATGTAAGAATTGATATTCACTCGGTATTCATGAGCTGAGGTTCCAGCAAACAGAAATCAAGAAGACAGCAATGTAGAATTGGGGCATGCTTTACATTAAAAGGGTTGCTATTCCCATGTGTCAGACAGTCCTTAAATGCAGCAGCAGTGAAATTTTCCAATGCTGTCTCAGCTTGCAACTGCATCACAATAGGATAATGAATTTGACAAAAATATAAAATTGATTAAATGTTCACTGTAATGATAATGTAATTACCTATTACCTTAGCCTAAAATTTCTCCCAGTTTATTCTCCTATGTAGTAAAAAGTTGCCAGTAGGGAAAGAAATCAATCTATAAAATGATGGTATGCTTTGGAAAAATAGTAATTATTGTAACATATGGTGGATGAAAAGGCTAAAACCCACTGGTATGTTTAAAATGAATAAGCTGTCATAAAGTGATTTTGCTGCTTTGGGGTGTTTCCTACAGTGACCCAATCTGGAGGGGCAGCTTGGGCGTTGCTTTGACCTGCAGGCTTCAGACCTGGCCTGGGTTGACTTGACATTCCTATTTAAACGCATCATTTAACGGCAGATATCTAAAGCTGAGGTCACATTTCCGATATGATCACCACCCTTGTTATGCATGAAAGGATTGAGAAACAACTGTTCAAGGACCTGGGGAGTTAAATCAGACTGCCTCATCTCACTACATGGATTCTCATATTTTAGTGTCTTTGTTTTTTTTTTTTACACAGCTGAACAGTCTTATCTAACAGAAATACAAAAGATAACGCCATTTTATTCTCACTACATGTATGGGAAAACCTCGGACTGTGTGGATATAGTCAGGTTTTATTGCAGTAAAGTGGAAAGTTTTTTTTTTTTTTACCAAAATCGCTAACCTTAATCACAAAAACTAAAGAGATGTTCATATCATTTGATGAAAATGTTATGATGTCCTCAGACCCAGAAACTTACGTTGGAGTGAGAGTCATCATTCGGACGCCGATGTATTTCTTCTTCTGGAATGTTTTACCTGGAGAACATAAGGAAATGTGCAGTTTGTAAAGCTGAGAAAACCATTACTTCATATGGTCATGTAAGGATTATCATCTTCCCTCACTCTATTTATCATTTGTTCTTAATCAAAAAGTAGCACAAGGACAGAAAAACATCTTCCGTAAAGATCTCTGACAGGCATTTGTATCCCAGATCATTTATCATTTTATCACTGTGATGTCCCTGTCCTGTAAATGCTGACATCACATCAATAACATTCATTTCTCTGACATGGAAGCCAATTATGAGCTCACATCTTTTGTGTAACAGTAATGTGGACACATTCTCCCTACTGTGAATATCTTCCTCTGTACCTAAAACAATATTTTCTAATATAATATGTATAATATTAGGAAATTGTTAGGAATCATTTACACAGATTTACACAGTTTACAGCACCTACAGGTATAAACCATTAAACTGTGTGTAATGGTGGAGAGAAAATGACACCAATAAAAATACTTTTAATGTATTTCTGGCTCAGCAGGGAAATTCCAATTTCAGACTACTTTACTAGCTGCTGAAGCAGGCTACATTTTACTGCTAACAGGATGTAGGTTTTACTCATTATTTTTCATTTCTGGCATGCCAAATACTTGGCATTACAAGACACTGCTGTATATAAAAAATCCAGAAATGTAAGACATATTCTGATAATGTCTGTAATGCTGATAATGTGCAAACTTCCCAGACTTTCTATATTTAACTGGCTAACTTCAAGATCCCCTCCAGACATGTAGACATGTATTATGACATATTTTAATAGTCTGTTTGGAACAATAATGTGTGTCTGACATGTTTTTTCTTCAAAAAAAACCTTATAATTTCCACATTAAAATCCATATAAAAGTATGTTCTCCTTTTACCTCATTAGGAATGTAAGAATCAGTGAATATGCAGGTTTTGGCAGGAAACAAAGAGTGAAACTGTTGCGAACCTTTGATCTGTCTGTCATGTGACTCTGCCAGGAACTGTCTGATCTTGTCTGAGGGGATGGCGAAAGAGATTCCAGCTGTGACCTTCAGGGTGTTGATGCCAATCACCTCTCCATCCTGCAGATACACAAAACCACACGCATTATTTGGCTGTCAATAACACCCAACAGTAAAAGTCAAATTTCCTCAGGAAGCTTGTTAAACAGCATTTCTGACGCCACATTGTTCTTTGTTTAACACAGCCAGCTGAAAAACAATTGTATAATCAGAGTCAGCTGTGGACTGCAACTATTTGCCAAGCATTACCTAAACTCTTTATTTACCTTTCCTAATAAGGTCTTTATGGGCCTTGGTGATTGTTTATATGAGATTACGTATATCTCTGTTTCGCAAAATATGGATGTGATCCAAGTAATAAGAAACTGTATTTCTGTACTGGTTTCAAAAATAGTAAGAAGGGATCTAAGAAATAAATTAACTTGAATCTCAGGGAGATGTAAGCAATACATGACTGGTTAACTTTTTCCAGAGCATTCAATTTCAGCTTCCGACCCCAAACAAGAGGTGAAAACACATTAAATACACTCCACCCACATTTCTGTTTCCTCAGGCCCCTTCACTGCATTTTTCCTTCCATCCTTCCACCAGGTGCCCTTAGGCTTTCCCTACTTTGCCCATCATCTTCACCCACCCCTCTTCACACCTGTTTCCACTTCCCTCATCTGTTCTGCAATTGCCTGACTTTCCCCACCTACGTCTTCACCTGCATCTTCTACTCTTCTCTTTGTTTCTCTGTCTTTTCGTTTCAGTTGCAATGTTGGTTTTGCACCTTATGTTACTTCTTTCATACCTGCCTGCCTGCACCTGCCTGTAAGCCTTCTGAATCAATAAATCATTGAAATAATCCTATCTGCCTCGACTGTCTGTGCTTGGGTCCTCTTCCTGTTGCCACCCTCCCTCACTGCCATTTCTAAATGTTTTTTTAATGGTATGTTTGCTATTTGAAAACTATGATGCAAAGGTTGAAAGTAATTTACTGAAATCTTTGAGTTAAAGCAACATGCTACCATACATGTTCTAATCGATCTGGTTAGTATTTAATGTATAGCCAAAAAGTGTAATGGGTTTGTTAGTAGCTAGTAAAATTACAAAATGTCATCTACTGTAGAAATGCAACATTGCATTTAAGTATTAAGTGTGCACGTAAAAAACACTACTGGTAGGAGAGCTTTCTGACATGCAGTATGAAATATGTTCAAATAAAGTAATTAATTGGTAATCTTTGGACAAATTAGAAATCTTACCAGGTTAACTAGTGGTCCTCCAGAGTTGCCGTACTGCAAGAAAACAAAAGCATAAGCAAAAAAAGAATGTAAAAGCAAAGATAATAGTACATCTCCATTAAAGAATCACAATAGGTTTTAACAGAGAAAAATACAATATTTTATTTGATATTTTTGACTAATTTAGAAGATTGGTGTTCGAGGCTCCACTCACGTTGATAATGGCGTCTGTCTGGATGTAGTCCATGTCAGAGTTGCGGAGGCCCAGCTCCTTGCCTCCCCTCTGCGTGGTGCTGACAATGCCAGTGGTGACGGTGTTTTGCAGGGAGAACGGGCTGCCTATGGCGACAACAAACTCTCCAGGACGCAGATCTGCCGACCGGCCGAGCAACAGCACCGGCAGCTTCATCTGCTCCACCAAACACACAAGGGGAGGGAGAAAATATGGTTGAAGAAAGAATGCAGTTTGAGACACAACCACCACAAAATACAGAGCTTTGTTGTTCAGAATAATGGCCAAAGACAGCTGACAATAAAGAGTTAATAGACTCTATAATCTGTTACACTTCCATTGAAATTTATAGTAACAAACAATGGTTTAGTTTAGTTAGCCCGACACTGATTAGTCCATTCCTTTTATCATGTTGGGTTTTTCATCTAAATTTGGTGGAGAAGAAGGTGAATTAAAGGACCACAGATGACGAACGCCATTTGAAGGAACACCCACATGGTCACTGGACACACACACACACACACACACTTGAGGTAAACAGCAGTTTATTCTCTTTAAGCTGTTGGAGACAGACGCGGATTTCCTGTGGAGAGCTGAGTCAGCTCTCAGTCTGGACGAGGCTTGTCTTCATCATCTCCAACCCAAACTCTAACCAAACTGTAAACTGCAAATCACCATTAACAACAGCTCATTTCAGCCCCTCAGCCTGGTTTCCACCAGGACCGACCGATGTGTCAGTCAGACTCGCAGTGTGTGTGTGTTAGACATCTAACTGTAAATCCTTCAGTTTGTTCTGATTAGGTGTGTGTTTCCTCCTCTAAAATCATACTGGTTCTCCTGGTTCATTCATTACAACTACTACAAGTATTTTTCACAAAAGCCACACTGAATAAGATCTTCAACAGTGGTAACTGTTTAATGTCAACACACCCACTAAAACGTCTTCCTGTAGGACTTGTGAAAGAAGTCAGAAGGAATGTTAAGTGATTGCAGGATATTTGTAAAACATGCAAGCTTTCCAACATTTTTTCCTGTACAAGCAATTTTCTTATGCAATTTTACAGACATCATAACGATGTTAAAACTATATAGAAATGCAATCAAATAATGCAAATACATTGTGTGTGCAAATCTTACAACTAGAACATTTAAAGCAGCAAGCATCACATCAATTGACTCTTACTAACATATGATCAGTTGGCACAGCAGTTTCCTACAGTTTAATGCTGTCTGGCCTGTTGCTTTAGCACTTTTCTAGCTGCCAGCCTGTCTGCATGTAAATGTGCACAGAAACCAACATTGCCAAAGAAATTAATCACATCCACGTGTCATTACAGCATGAGTGTGATGTGATTTTGCGGTCCAAACTAATTGCTAAGATGGAAAGAGAGATCCAGAACAAGTCTCGCTGGACAAGTTTGTAAAAACAGATTTTTATTTGTACTGTTGTTTATATGGCTGCAGGTCGCAGCTCTGCCTGCGTCTCTGATTAACTGGCTGGATTATTAACATTTCTATCCCTGCCACTGCAGTTTCCAGTGCTGTCATATAAAAGCTGAGTGTGCCTGACTGCAAACACACACACACACACACACACACAGACACACACACATTCTCTCATACAAAGTTCACGTTGCCACTGAACGTGAAGAGACCAGTAAAACATTTTGTATGTAATAATCTGTTAAAATAGACTTTAATAGAATTTCATTAGTCTCTATTTTGCTCACTGTCACTCTACCAATTTCTCTCTCTCTCTCTCTCTCTCTCTCTGCACTTTATTAAAGGAAACACTCAGACGGCTGTTTGCTCTGCCACCGCTAATTAATTTTAACCAGTAGACACACACACACACACACACACACTCAATTCGTGCCAACAATTTGGAAATTAAAATGATATTGTGTGTTTGCCTTGATTTTACATAATAAAAACATGTGACAATGAGCTCCAATCAGCCTCCACTAACTCTATTAGTATCATGTATTTTCTTAGTCAGCTTCACATTTTCTGCCAAAGTTACAACAGTGTTGGTTATTTAACAAGATATTTTAGTATTTCTACTTTTCTTGGTGTTCTTCTTACTGATTTGAAATGGTTGGAACTTTTTTTTTTTAATAAGAAAAAAATGTGTCACACAGTTGTATCTAACAATTGGGATTTAGAAAATATCTGAATCAAGCTTAGAGGAGTTTTGGACTGTACTGTACATGTGTGTGATTTAATGCGTTCTGTCAACAGTTTTGCAGTCCATTCTAATGGCGGCCTAAGGGAAAATAAATGCTTTTTGGTCCACAAGAGTTTTTTTGTTGCAGTGCTGGGACAAACTGGCAGCGAGGCTGACTTGCTGTGCAGTGTCCAGCTCTTTCAAAACATCTATGATCTTAAGACACTTTGGCTTCGGCTCCAGCCCTCAGTGGTGGAGTTAGCTGATTGGCCGACCCTCCGTGAACTGCGTGCTGGCTTGCTGTATGTCGTCCTACTAACCTACTTCGGCCCCAGATGTGACGTTGAGCAGAAAAAGTGAGACATAAAGCAGCCGCGATGTTAGGACCCAACTTTCATCAACGTCACGCTCCACAGAGCATGACAAGCGTCTGTTTGTCTGTCAGCATGTGCGTGTGTGCATCTTGTTTCCCCGGTGATGACAGACACATCTGTTGCCCATTTCCTCTGTTAAGTAACATAAACCTTAAGACTCTGACCCACTTTTGGTAGGGTTTAGTAAGAGGGGGAGAGAGAGAGAGGGGTAGAAACATAAGTATCAAGAGTGAAAGAGAAGGAGGAACAAGGTGAGAAGGTGTGGAAGAAGGAGTGAATGGTATATGAAATGAAGCAGAGAGATGACAACACAGAGAAAAACAGATGCAGGCAGATGTGACAGATGTTTTTTACATCTAAGAGCAGCTGTTGAGTGATGAAGACCTTTCCAGACAAATGAATGAATATAAAACGCACACTCTTTTTCTCTCCGTTAGATTGACATGGACCGCAGGTATGCTCAAAACATCTGTACATGACCAACATCTTGGCATGTGGAGTGTGTGCATTAGTCTCTATATGTGTGCATGTGTATGAGAGCGAGAGAGAAAGAAAATGTGTGTCCTGTGGTCTGTGTAAGTCATGGCGTATGACAAAGCAAAATAAAATGTGGAGCCTGAAACAGAAGCCCAAGTTTGAAATTAAAGTGTGCATTCATTGCAGCCTCCATGTACCTCTCACATACACTTCACTCTGTTAACACTTCCATCCACACCAGTAAAATCAAAATATAGTTCCCCAATTAATACTTAACACAGCCTGTTTCCCCTCAGATCTCCACAAAGGTTCTCAATTACTTAAATTTACAAATGATTTTTAATTTGATCATATCACGAAGCCCTGTCTATTATTATGTCATACCTATAATACATTATTTTTTACCTATTGAAACATTTTTTGTTTTTACTTCTTCATATATTTACTCTTTAACACTATGTTTACATACTTCCTTTTTTCCTGCTAATAATAATTTCTATTGGCAGAGTTTGATTCATAGAATGTTTATTACAACCTACTTATATAATAAATCCCAATGGGAAACTGCATTAGTTATTCTAATGAGGACAAGGGCATACATGCACACAAATGAACTCTCTCCTAAATCACCATCAAGCATATACAGCCATAAACAAGATGGTTATGAATGGATTCATTCAGCTCTACTAATCAGAGCTGTACTCCATCGGTTAAACATAAAGCTCCTCTGTTCGCCCGTCCTCAACCCGGCACAAGAATCATCTGAACATCCGTCCAACAGACAGCCTGCTGAGCTCCGCCCACCAGGAAAATTACCATGTTTCTCGCTCTGTGGTTTTCAGGATGACAGCACTTTGTCCAGGGTGAGATTACAAAGCCGAGGGGCTGCATTCAGTGGTAATTTAAGAGACGCCAACACAGCAGAGTGCAACAAAGCAACCAAAGACAAAGACCACAACAAGAAACAAAGCAGTGGTTTTGTTCATCCCTCCTGTCTTCTTCTCTCATCATTCTGTCCTTCTCATTATCTCTCTTTCCCAGTCCATTCATCCATCATGCATACAATCTCAAGTACAGTAAGCATGTTAGAGTGTCAGTTAACCCAGAAAAATGTCTCACTCATAGTGGTGTCGAGCCATGCAGCACCATGTTTTCTTATGTAACAAGCTTTTGTAAGAAGCATCTTTACCTCTGCTGCCACCCCCGTACAATGGAGGTCAACAGAATTTAGGGACAGAACTGTTTGCTATTTTTTCAATTTTTTTCTTCACATGTTTCTCTAAATGTTAATTTTGTGTTAATCAAAAGTCAAAGTGCAGATACCTAGCATCTGTGCTGATTGTGCCCCACCCTGGGGAGTGATCGACCTTTTTTACCACAGATATTTTCACATGTCACAACAGGAAAAGCTGAGTTTTAAATAATAGAATTAATGATGGGCTGAATTCCATTTGGCTGCTTTAGTTTCAGGGTCCTGGTATTGTGCATGCCGGCCCATAGTCATATTTCACAACCGACTGGGACACTTAAATAGAACAGAGCAATAACAACTGTGTTTTTCTTATGATGGCAGGTCAACATGTCTGCTGTGGAAAAGGCCTATTGCACACATTCAACATATCCATATACTCTGACACTTGATTAACACAAGAACATAAAAAAAACATGCAAGGGAAATTAAATGTTGTCTTTTCATTGTCATTTCTTATTTGGTCTCCCACTCCTTCCTCTCCTTCTTGCTTCTTTCACCCTGGGCAGAACCAGGCCGTTTAGTTTTCTGGTTAACAACCAGAGCGGGGAACTGCCAACTCTGCAAGGAATTTGCTGAGGGAATAAAATCTGAGGGAATAAATATTATTTAAATCTCTTTAACTTTAAAATGATCTCTCCTGCTCTTTGGAAGACCATAATTCCTGCATCACTCCAGCTGAATTGATTCACTTCAGATGTTCAAGCTGAAAGTGTCTGCAGTAGCAGTAGTAATTCTATCAACAGTTGTATTAAATAACAGTATTACTAGTACCAGTATGGATCAGATGCTGCTGTTGGCCTTCAGACGTCCCGGTCTGTTAAATCCTATGAGCGGATCAGATCAGCTGAGAGCACTTTCATAAGCTGCTCATGGACTCATGTCATGGAAAATGATCGATGCTGGATCAAGGTGGAATATTGCCACAAGGCTTTACTGGATGAGTTAAGACTCAAAACAAAACTAGAGTGCTCCTGTCTGCACATGCTCAGAGGATACCTGCCTCAGTAGCAACAGTACAGGCCAACACTGCTGACACATACTTACATACTTAAAGGAGCTAAGACTTTTATTTTATCGCATTCAAAAATGAACAAAAATTAGAATGTGAGGAAGTAACAGTTTTGATGTTATATCAAATACGTTACATGCTAACCAGCTAGCCCTGGCTATTCTTGTAATACCACTTTCTACCTCAAGAGGCCAAAGTGAGTCATTGTAGCATCCAGTCTGCCCTCAGTCCAACAACACTGAGGTGGTTTTCTTACCAGATTTGACTCCTTGCAACCCTGTGCTGACCCTGCGTTAACCCCTGTTCAGGCCTCTGGAGGTGGGTGCCCGACCTCCCTCATGCCCCTCTCCTGACACCTCTCCTGTCCTTGCCTGAACCCATCCTTGTCATCCCCAGAGTCAGAGTCCTGGTTGGAGCCACTGTAAATCACCTTGGTACTGCATTGTCATAAAACTGGCCTCTGTCCAGCTGTGTTCACTGGGATGCTGCTGAGCTCCTGCTGCAGAATAACTACTGACTGACTATCATCTTAGCTGGTCCTAAAAGCCCTGCACACCCACACAGGTGTTTTACATTAGCTCAGTAGACCTCTAATCTGGTAACCAATTGCTGCCAGTCCACATTTGACATCATATAAGAGTTATTGTAGAACTACAGTCTGGCAGAGACTCTGTCAAAACTTTTTTTTATCTTGAGATCACAAGAGAACAGTTTGGGTTATGTCGAGATGACAATCATAAATCCAAGGCAACAGAAGACAACTGAGTAGATAGAGTGGTAGTCTGAGTAGTCAGAATTGATCTTGAAGGTCAAGGATGTGAACAAAGCCGCTATGTCTCTCTGCTCTGCTTTCATAAAATCTCCTCTGATAGAAATGTATCTGCCCTGAACATGCAGCCACACGTCTGACTGCTTCGTCTGCAAACGATTTACTGCTGCAATTACACCTAAAAGCTGTTTAATGCTGACCTGCACTATCTACACACTCGGACTGTGAGGTTTTATTGAGAAGTGCCTCCGCCAATATTCCTGTTATTCCTATATTGGACAGTCACATCCTTTTCTCCTGGGATTTGATCTTTAAAAATGACGATTTAACTGTCGGAATAAAGTTCTGATGGAATCTAATATTTCCCCTCTGAGTGGCATTTTTTAGGAGAGAGAACAAAGAAAAATGTCAGTGAGAGGGGAAATATGAGATTCCATGAGAAACTATTTCTGATAGTGTCAGTGGACACTTGGAGTACTCTCATTTTTGCTTTTTATTTCTGAATTAGTGGTCTAGATCCAGTAGGGCAGTTTGTTTACAATGGATTTGTTCACTCTTCTTGATGCCTGACTGAATTCAATTTAGCTGCTTATTCAGGATATAATTGACATCATAATTAACAGGGACAGAGGACTGATCTAGAAAAATAGGACCCTGAGTGTAAACAACCAGAATTGTCCTTAATTAGTTTTCTTCATGATATTTTAATGTCAAACTACTTTGTGTTTTCTTCTGAGGATATGGAACACAACAATCAGACAGATGAAACGAACTTTCATGCCAGAGAGAAGTGTGTGTGGGAGAGGTTGGATGACTGTAAGTCATTTGTGCAGGAGTACAGTTGTCTCTTGGGTTCTGTGCGCATGTAACCACAACCACAAGTGCAGTAGTTTGTAAATTTCGGCACAATTTCATGCCCTGAAGCTCCAGTTACACCCCACGGCCCCGCCTAAACATGCAAGAGAAAAACCATAATCGTCTCTGTGTGACCGGCAAACATGAACTCACACCCTGCACTCTCAGTGTCCCTGTGTATTGACTTAATGTTTCGTCTGAGTTTGGGCTGTTCTCATTCTGCCTGAAGTTAAATCTGAGACACATTAGACTTAGACACCGGCGGCAGTTTGGTTTGCAGAAAATATAGGAACCTATCTGTCAAATCTCTAAATAGAGGCGCCTGCATGAGATAATGGAAAATTCATACTTGTATGAACACATACACTGCCATATATGGTTATCTGAAAAACAGCAAATTATATAGCCTCAGTCAGAGCATTTTTACATTTAGGTGCAATCCTGTCCAAAACCTATCCTATCTTTAATAACATACCCAAACCTGTAATTAGTTATTGGCAAATTTACTTTTTCGACAGATCACACTTTTTTATGCTTCCACTTTTCCAGCTAAATTCATTGATTTCAGATGTTTTTCTACCCTGACAGGAAGGAAAACATATACGTTTCCAAATAGCACAGTCATGATGTTTCTATTCTTTTGCATTTTGTGTGACTCTATGGAAGCATCATCAACCCCCCAAAATCCTCTACTGATCTGCTGATTGCAGTTCCAGATGGCAGGAAGGATGTTTGTGTATAGATGGCATTAGCAGGTCTGAACCTGCTGTTCTAACAGACAGGAGGTGGCACAGAGACAGTTCAGTGTTACACAAATCTAGTCTTTTCTAGTCTAATTTTAATTAAACTGACACATTCTGTTGTATATATCTTGGGTTTTCTGGGTACTTATGATGGGTGGAAAATGTAACAATTAATACCTCGAATAACTCATGGGTCACGGTATGTGTGGGTCCTTAAAAAGAGAACATTTCTATCATACTATTTGAAGACTTTGAGAGATCACAAAGTTTCTCAGATCTTGTTTTTTTTATATTATGAAAACAGAATCCAGATCAGAGTTGCATAATGCACCCTGTCTGCTTTCATAAGCCCAGCTGGACTTAATTTCCCTTGATATATTACCTGTTTCTCTTATTCAGCCTATTTATAAATCCACAGATTTAACTGCCTACGTCCAGTCACAGACTTGTTTTGGTTGCAGGTTGCTTTTTGGATCTCAACCTCCATAGGGCAGATGTAAATACAACCTGCAGAGATAATATATTTCAGCACTGTTCTGGTGAGTGAATCTGGCATCAAAATGTCTGAACTTTACGCGTTTAAATGCACCACATTCCCCATTAAATGTCTGACCTTGTGCACTATGTTGCAGCTCTGGCTACCCAACGTCAGTACAAAAATGAGACACGTTGACCTCCTTATGCTAAAATGTTTTTCCATTGCACACATTTTGTGGAAAACCTCACTTCCTGAACAGAACCGGGCTGTCCAGTCATCTCTGGACCAAAACAAAGTGCTACGAATGGAAACCCAAAATTAACCCACATAAAAAGTTCCTTCTGTGTCCCTACTGCTCCTCAGATATCCACTTTCAGGAGACATCAGATTATTTTGCTGAGGTGCCTCGTCTGAGGCGTCTCTAAAATTAAAACCAGGCTTTCTGTTTCAGCAAAAGAACATTTTCCAAAAAGGAATAAATACCTGAATTTGTTTTGGAAAAGAAAGAGTGAATCTAAAAGGGAGACAAAAAACAAGTGTGTCTGAGAGGAGAAGAAAGAAGAGGAGAGAAGAGGACAAGAGGACACAAAACTTCTAGAGAGCTGCATCATAAAATCAAGGCAAGATGAGGTTTCTTGGGAATTATTGCAAACAAATATCCTCCTGTTTTGTGCTACATCTCTACTTTCCTCTTGATTAATATGCATCAATTCCCCAAACTTTTTCCCAATCACTAGATGACCAGCTCTGGATCCAAGGAAGGAACCTTCAGCATCCCCCAGTAGTACCCAGCAGATATTCTTCTGCACACGCTCCCTTACTACAACTACAAAAACTTCTGCAGACTTTAAAGAAGCAGCAGATACATTAGGGGGATATGATCAAGCTAACAGACTGAGGAGTTGATATCGCAATGCAGATTTCAAAATGTAACAATTTCAAGGCTAACGCTGACCTAACCCCTAACTCCCTGTTTGGATGTCAGATTGAAAGGAAGATAAAAAGAAGAGTCCCTACAGACAATAAATATACAGGCATAAGGACTATCCCATCCACTCTCACTGCTCACCGGTGTATCGATCTTGATCAGAGCGATGTCGGCCTTCTCATCCACATCTTTGATCTTGGCGTCAAATGTGGCTCCGCTCTTCAGCTCCACCTAGAGGAAATAAAGAAATGTCATCCTGCTCAGCAAATGCAACTCTTCAAATGCTACCCCTTGGTGAGTGGTCCTCCGCTTCAAAATACTGTATGACACTGTAGGTGCCCCTCTTAGGCCAGAGATGTACTCGCGTTAATTTCTGAGAACGTGCAAAAACAGACCAAACACAATGCACACATGAATGCATAGTTACATGCAAGTCTATCTCTGGCCTTAGCATAGGATAAACATCAGGGACTTCTGGTCAAGTTAGTCATAATAAATACTATACATTCAGTTAGACTAAAATAAAGCTTCATTGGTTAATGTTGTGAAATGGTCGCACATCCCCTGACTTTGAGGGCAGCCGCGTCCAGAAATGACACTAGAGGGATACCTACAGCATCTCATTTTAAAGTAGAGGGCCACTGACCAATTGCAGAGCAACAGATCTCAGTGGCTCCTGATATTCAAAAGTGCTTTCAATGTCATATTAACAACAATTTCAAAACATGAAACAAAATCATGAAGTGGACACGTAATTTTAATGATTGGAAACAATAAATGACATGGTTAGTATCTTTCCCCTCCAATGACTCTACAGCTGTACAACTGTTTCGTACCTTTACTCGGTGCTTGTTGGCCACCACATGGGCGTTGGTGACAATGAGTCCGTCTTCTGACACAACAAACCCAGAGCCGCTAGCTACTGCCACCTCCCGCTTAGAAAATATCATCCTGAGCAGAAAGAAGAAGAGACAGGAACATGTTTCTGGCTTATAACTTCAAACGAGAAATATAAGGACACCAATCCAACTCAATCACCTAAATGGATGTTAACGAAAAACAACATTCCTTCTACACTCTTGCTCCAGTAAATTACAGAGGTACTATAATAGGTTTAACTACAGGTGTGTTAAGATGTACCAAGTGATCATGTTAAAGACTGGAAACATTGACAAAACCACTGTTTTTTTGTGTAGGTTGTCGGTTCAGTAGTTTTTCTTACTTGCGGTACAGTTCAATATGAACGACAGCAGGTGCAATCTTCTCCACCACGTCAGCGATGAAGTTGTACTTGTAACGAAGACTGTCAGGGTTCTGCTGACCTGAAGAGGGAAAAACACAACGTCAATGAACTGTATCACTCTCTCTCTCTCACATACACACACACAAAGCATCCACTTCTGGCTCATCACTTCATAACCACAGTCGAATGGATTTGGCTCAGTAGTAGCACAGTTCTGGGATTGTACAAAGTGTTGGGAAATCATTGGAGAACGTCGTCCATAACGGGACATAATCTGAATTTCGTGTGTTTCATCTGAACCATGATGGCTGTGCGTGGTGCAGGATGGTGCGGTGGGATCCAAACTGTAGCTGCTGTCTTAAACCGATTCCAGATGTGGCGCGGAGTATATGAACTGTACATCTGAGAGCAGCTGCAGGCTGTCTGTGCCTCCTACTAATGCTTATAAAACAAAGGAAATGACTCAGATCCTCAAACAATACGGAGAGATAGCAGGAGAGCGATGTTAGGATGTTTTTTGACAAAACTGTAAAAGTTCATGCATGACCGTCACCTTACATAACCCAGTTTTGGTTTCACGCCAGCTGTGCTGCAACATCTGTCACAGCTACAGATCTTTATTGTCTCATTTCACTGGTCGTTTGTAAGTTGCCCGCCCCTCCCCACTCTGACCTGCTGGGACACTTTCCCCCATCTGCGTATTTTGGTGTCGAAAACATGTTTTCTCAAAGCAGAGAGGCAATTTTTATTTTCATTAATGATTACACACCAATGACAACATACATATAAATATTATATTCCATTTATGTCAATAGATCCTCCTCAATGTTACACACTGGAAACAAAGCCATATTTGTTTAAGATAAAAACTCTGACCAGTCACAAGCAGTTGGCGCTGATTCAAACATGATTGAAACTTCACTTATTGCAACTACAGGAGCAGCAAATGAGGGCATTCAGAAAACATTAAAACAAGGCTGTAAAATGCACTCCATGGTGCATACGAACATGACTGTTTGGAAAACTGCAGTGTTTCTATTCAAGACTAAAGAGCAACACACACTGCCAGGAACAACATCCGGGGCTATTGTTTTCTTTTTGCACCCACTCACCAGTAGCATTGACATGTGTATCATTATGGGTTTTTTTCTTATTATTTTTGCTTTCTTAAGTAGACAAAAGATAATTGTTGAAAAGGATTTGACATAATGACAATCCCTTCCACCCTCCCTGATGGCGACAACCGAATTAGACTCTACCACAACAGAAAAAAGAAGAAATGTGTGTCCCTATGGTTCACTGCATCAACATACGCCACTCAATTGTTTCCCATTAACATAGTGCAACAGTGCTCATTACTTCCCCAGTCTCTGTGGCACATCAGGATTGTGCTGACGACGAGTGTGCTGCATTTAAATGTTAACATCCTGTCGGCTGTTAATCAAAGCAAAGACGGAGGTTTAATAGATTAAAAATCAGAACAAAAAAAAACAAAAAACAAGTAAGCCGAGAATTTCTTCTACTTTTTTGTCAGCTAGTTAGTTTTAACTCAGAGTTGGAGTAAATTGAGAAAAACTTCTGAAACCCTGCGCAACCAAACAGTCAGTAAAGTTAATTATTGCTTTTAAGAGCCAGAAATGTGATATTCTTTGTCATTAATGACTCACTGCTTGGCTTTCTAAACACGAAGAACTGCACCCATCTCATAATACCCATAATCCCTTGTCTTTTCTTGTCAATTGGATTAAAAAAACACTAATCGGGCAGCAAAATACAGTATTCTCTGAAAACTTGGTGCCATTATGGACTCCAAAAAGAAACCTTTTGTTTAACTAATCAGAACGTGTTGACTGTGCCTTTGTCCCTCTAATCTCTTCAAAACCCTGTTGCTGGCAGCTCACGTCTCCAGGTTACACCCCAATCAGTCAGGTGAAAAATCAACTTTTGAGTGTTTTTGTAATCTGAACCTGAAGCCAAAAACAAGTTGACAGGAATTCCTATGTCCATTTTCGGGCATACCTTATTGTTACCTACCAGAATCCAGATTAAAGTTTTAGATCTTTATCTACAGGCTGATCCAACTCAAGTTCTCATATGAAGTCCATATCTACTTATTGTCTGTGTGAGAGCTGATGTAGCTCAAAAAAGCTCAGAGTGCTCAGCTGAATATCTGGACAAGGGTAAGCATGAGACATTACATTAACTTAGAATACTGACATTTTACACTTTAACTTTTCGCAAAGTATTTCTAGACCAAACAGAGCACATGCCACAAAACTCCATTTAATATAAAGATATATTTATATATTTAATGCAAAAAAGCTGACAGTCTTTGCTTATGAACTCTTGACCCTGACTGGATATTTTCAATGTATATGTGCGGCAGTTGTGATCTTTCTTTGCGTATACAGCTGCAGTCAACCAATATTTTTCAGATCTGAACTTTTGAAAATCACCAGTCGTGTTTATGTCAAGTTAAGTTTCGTTTCAATTTGTCAAATAAAGTCTGGAGTCCTGACTTGAGTTTGACTGGACTCCAAGTCATGTGACTCCAATCCAGGCTGATTTCTGACTCAAGTCCAACTCCCATGACTCGAGTCTCACCTCTGTTACAAAGTTTTACTGAGGAACTCTCCCAGGGCTGCTGTAGAGTTACTGACTGAGCAGCTGTTTGTTGTGAAATGTTCACTTCAACCTCAGGTGCAGCGATCGTCTGCCTGGAAGACACTGATGTGTTTATGTGTGTTTGGCTGGCTGGGTGTTTGGCTGGAGGATTAGTGGTGTGCCAGCTGCTGCAGCTTTGAAGTGAACTGAATGGAGCCAGTCAGACGAATGCAGAAGCATAGCGACCTCAAACACACTGCGGGTGTCGTAACATCACTGCGTATATTGAGGGCGAGAAGGGTCAATTCTACACTGACTTTGTAGTAAAGCTGCAGCAGGTACACTTTATTCATCATTGCTCAGGTGTCAGTGTCCTTGAATGCACCAACAAGGAGAGTTCAAATTACCATGAACACACACTGTAGTTTATTTTGACTCAGTCCCACATACACCATCCTACTGCTAGAAACACCCACAAGAGCAGCAAATGTATATTAATCCGCCACTGAATATAGTCCCGAATAAATCTACAATTTCCTCCTGTTTGAGAAATGTTACCAAAAGACTCCAGTGAGCAGCTGTCTTAGGAAAAGACTGTGCCTATTTTAAAAATGAAACTATATATTCAACACATCCCTCTTAACAAAGATTGTCAAATACTGACGCTGCTTTGTCTCACCCTTTGTGTGAGACATCTTTTTAACACGTGGTTAAATTTGTGAAATGGTCACAATTTCATTAAGTTTAGGCAACAAGACTACTTAGGTGTAGGAAAACATTGGGATTTGGGTAAGTATGCTATGTGCTGTAAGTTACATAACGTTATGAAGCATGAAACGGAAAATGACTTTGGGTTTCACACGGGACACTTCCTGGGTGAAAGCTGTTTGTTTGACCCATCTATCCACACCAACCACCTCCTTACGCAGACGTTCTCATTCTTTGCCCTACGTCACCTGATGCCGACGGGTTACATTGGAGTTAGTAGATGACAGCAGATAGAGGGGTGGGACACAGCATCGGTATTTGACGCCCTGGGAATAAGAACAGGTTGCAACATATATGTGTTTCTATAGATTTACGTCTTCAGTAGGAATCAGTGGGCTTGGGGCTGAGAGCCACAGACAGGGTTGGGAAGTCAGCAAGCGTCAAGACGGACGGACTAACACCCTTTTGGTTTCGGTCTTTTAATGCCATTTGTAAACAACAAGAAGAATATGGTATAACACTAGTAATGTTCTATAATTAAAAATGAATTTCACTGATTATATATTTGCAGGAAGGTTTGTCTCTTCAACTCTCAGACATGCAGATCAAGACTGTAAAATAATCAGCAGTGATGGACCGTTTCTGTAGTTTGCTTTAAGGTTCCACACTTACAACTTGGCCAAGTATTTTTTTTAATTTTCAGCCCAAAAAAGTGCAGCTCAAATGTGCCCGACCCAATAAATCAAATGATACCCTGTTTTGCACTTTATGTGAAATCTCATTACAAGCTGGACGAGCCTGAACTGGGAGAAATTCCTCCAGTTCCTGACAGAGTTGAGTCACTGTGCAACCGTGTTTTGTTGACGATGTATCCAAGCCTGTCAATCTGACAAAGAGCTTGCAAGTCTGTACAGGAAGCAGAAAAAATAAAATAAAAATGACAAATGATAAAAGGAAAAACAATTTGAGCCCCTCAAATGTGGGTAAAACAACAGTTTGACCTAGATCTGCGTCTGTTCAGGAAGTTACACAATCAACCAATCAGCTCCAAGAGATGAGTCATTACAAAATGAACATGGTGTGTGTGTGTGTGTGTGTGTGTGTGTGTGTGTGTCAGTGACATCTTCCAGATTTCTGAAGCGATGCACAAACTTGTCCGTCCCTCTTGGTTGATCAGATCAGTGACGTGGGGCGAGGAAATTAGGAGATAGGAGGGGAGGAAAGGAAAGGAGAGGAGGAAATGGGATGTGCCTAAAAATGATACGAAGAGAGGAGAGTTAAAGCGCAGATGAAAGGAAAGAGGAGGAGAAGAATAACTTGCTATTCTTCCACCCCTCTTGGATCAAGAGATCAAAGAGGGGAGGAGAAAAGGGATGCATGAGGAGAAGACGAAAGGGAATGGGAGGAGAAGAGAACATCTGGAAAGAGGGGAACGTGGAGAGAAGTTAAGTGTGGTGAGAAGAGAAGTGGAGGGAGGAGGGAGGATAAGAGTCAGGAGGAGAGGGAGCATGGAGAAGAGCACAATGAGAAAGGAGGAGAAGAAAGAGGATGGTATGGATGAGGGGAGAACAAAAAAAAAGGTGGAGAAAAACTGAGGAGGTGAAGAAGAAAGACACTGACCCGGTTGAACTCCACTAAGATTCAGAACGAAGACTCAGCGAAGTGGTGTGTTCACAGCTGCGTGTGTGTGTGTGTGTGTGTGTGTGTGCGTGCGTGTGTGTGGGTGTGCGTGTGTGTGTGTGTTCTCTCCTTAATATGCTTTCATTACTCTCTCTCTCACACACACACTCACTGGGGAACACTG